GAACAGATCTGAGACCCCTAAAGTGTTATTTCAAGGCTCCTCCTCAGCCTGCCGGTAGAGGTGCCCACAGACCTGGTCAGTGTGTTGCGTGTGCAGCAAAAGCAACATCTCAAAACTTTCGCAAATGTTTAATATTTCAAAAGATTCAGGAGCTCGAAAGAAATTTCACTTAGTTTTGATGCTGTTTCCCAGCCAATGTCTCCCTCCAGTATGCGCCTCAGTATGTGTGCTGATTTACGCGCATACAGAACTCATGGGCAAGGAAGAAGCTACTGTGTAAGTAGTGCCTATGTCAGTTCTCTTTCTTGTTGAAAAGGGTAAATCTAGTCAACACCTCCTGTGTTTTCAGTGGGTGAAGGCTGTGTGGGAACAACACTGGCATGTGAGGTGCTCTGCCAGCGTGGTTGTAGTGATAGCATTTCAGAATAAAGCTGGCTGCTGTAAACAGCCATTTCATTTCTTGAAATTTGCTTCCGCCAGCACCTGCAAGCACCAGAGCTGGACTTAATGCCTCCTCAACATTGTCGATGCTCTGCAGGCTGGGTCACTGCAACAACTTGTCCTCTGTAAATAATGCAATATGCTCTGTATGTCCTCTGTAAATAGTGCAATATGCTCTGCTCCATTGTCTGGCTGTGCAGATACTGCATAGTGTGTTAGTCCTCTGTGCATCACTGCAACTTGTAGACAGAAGAGGATGTTTTGGAGAGCATATCGGGGCAAATATATAGGTTGCAGTAGTGGAGCATTCGGTAGCATTACTATATTCTCTGCTAGAGGGATGTCTCAGTGACATTCAGTCCCTGGCACCGAGGAGCTGGAGACTGTAGTTTTCCCAGAACTTCTGAAACCAAAGGCTGAAACAAGAAGACTGCCAGTATTAATTGCTGGGAGTTGTACGAGGCTTAGGGAATATACACAGGGGCAGAGTCTGCTTCTCAGACGCTGAAGAATTTAAGCTGTTCCTACCTTGTCCTAATTAAATGCTTTTTGATTTTATGCTTTAGGAAGTTAATGTATGAATTTTTTCCCGCCTTTTCTCCCCCTTTTCTTCCCTCCCTAAACAGCACAGTAGTTGACAGAGGTCTGGGAAGGGAATTCCTTCATGTCGATTTTCCATAAAAATGTTCACCTGCTTCCTCCTTAGCTTCTCTTCAAATGTTTGCTTGCTGTAGCCAGCTAGCTTGTGCTTGAGAAAGTTTAAGACAATGGCTCCAAAAGTTCCCGTGTGATCTAGCAGCTTTTTATCAGATAGATGTTAGACTCAAGATTTGCTTTTTCTGCCAGACAGTCTTTTTCAGGAACTTTCGAGAGTTGTAATCTCTGGGAGTTGTTTTCTAATGGCCTGGTATACATCTATTTAAATATCTGAGAAACATGCTCCAAAAGTCTTCCCGTGGAAGATCTTAAAAGAAGACAGATGAAGCAGAGTGGGTAAGGACAGGAAACCCAAGATGCAAAGATGAAGGTGGTCTGGAAGCCTAAACCACCTTATGAGAGTTGAAAGGATCACTGAGCAAGCTAAAGAGATCAAGCTAACAGGATCACTGAACAAACTAGACGGGCTTCCGGTCTGTCAGCAAGTTCTGGATGAGGAGCATTAGCCCCCGATGTAGCTGTCAGTGCTAGAGGTAAATTGTCAAATGACCTTTTGCCCAGGTGGTTCTTGTGTAATTTCAGATGTAGCCATTAAGGGTGATCCTATGCTTTTATATACATTAGAAAGCTAGAATTCATTTCCTAGTCAAAATCTCCCCTGGGTATTTTTATTCTCCATTAACATTCCTTCTGGGGATTGGATTCAGGTCCTTTGCTTCCTGTCCTGTTCCTGTTCCGATTTTAATCAGCTGTTGTGTTCTATTCCAATTACATGCTAGTGATGTTAATGTTTCTTGGGCAATGCTGATCTGTCCTGGCTTTTATGAAAAGGTTAGGGAAGCTAAGCCACTCTTAACAGAGGAAAGAGAGTAGATAATAAAATACATACTTAAGGGTGTGGAGTGCCACTGAATTAGGAGCACTGGGATCGTTGTATTGCGGAAGGAGGTAGCGGGACTGTAAGAAAAGTCTGATTCTGGTTACTTTTAAGAAGCTTTCTCAGGGTGCAGTGGGTATGATGGATACATGATATCTGCAGCGGTATTTACATTCAACAAGAACTATGTAAGACTGTAGAGTGTAGGGATTTCATTTTCTTTGGAAATACGTTAGGTGTTAAGTAGGACTTGTTACACGGAATGTTGTTCAACAGCTAGCCTGATCCCTTTTTCTTGATAACTCTTGGATTCGTTCCCGTGCAGGGAACTGAGGTTTCTGCCTAACAGTCAAGGTTAATTGGTATGGAAAAGCAGGAGTGAGCTATAATCCTCCTGAAATTTGATTTTAATCCAAGAGTCACTATAATGCTATTACTCAGATCTGAATCATGAGTATTAATGTACAAGCAGAACTGAGCTGTGAGTTTCTGCACTAGGAACTGTCATCCTTTTATTTTAAAAGGAGTTTCAAAGAAGCCAGTAGCAGGATGAGTATGAACGTACTTTTAATTGAGATGCCTTCTCTGAATGAAAAGATCTCTCATTAAATGTTAAAGTGTTTCTTAATGACCTTGCACTCCTTTTCCATCATACTCTGCATCAGCAGTCTAGGGGTGCTGCTTTTTATTTCACACAGCTTATTTGTCTATTCTGAACAAGACCTCTTGATGCATCATCTATCTCACTGATGAGTCGTCCTCATGAAGCTAACTGGAGGCTAACGTTGCCTCTGCCCATAGGCACAGGAAGGCAACTGGACAAGTCTCTCTTGCTTTTGCTGCTCAGGATGCTGGTGGAGAGACGCTGTTGCCTCCTGAAGCAGGGTGTACCGGCGTCCTGTGATTTGGATGTGTGTTTGGCGTATAGGTTGGCCCACACAGAGTGAAAATTCTGGGTTAGCTGTGGTGGTCAGATATGTGACACAGAACAGTAGCAGCGCCTTTTTTTTTTTTTTCCCCCTTCACATGTGGGTATTACATTTGGAGTTTTTTGGAGCACACCGACTCTGATAGCCAATGAATGTTTCTGTAGAATGGCATTAGAAACAAATGTGACAGCGGTCGTGTTATGGAATGTATTTTTCTCTGTCATACAAGTATCTTTCTGAATAAAAAACAAGGTTAAAGGAATGGTACTTTTAGGAGGAAAAGGTTGGAAAAATGACAGAGTGCCTTAAACAAAAAGCGTTCTCACCATAATCACCATGTTTCTGTTGGCTGATCCTGAACACTGGTCAGCAGGCTGCTTTATAAGGTCAGAAAAGGCAACACAAGAGAAGGTGATGATGAGGAAGACCCTCCAAGTCCTCTGCCTCTTTTTAGGGGATGTTCAACTGCTGCAGCAGCAAGCAGGCAGGAAGTGTGTGCATCCTAGAACCAAAGCTAAATATTAACTACCTCTGGCCTCAAGGAACTTAGCAGGTGTCAGGAAGACAGAAGGTGCCTACAGATGTTTCTTTTTTTTTTACTTTGGAACTTTCCTTTTTTATCCAAAGGGTTCCTTTTTGGAGTTTTGTATGCTATGAACATATTTCTTTTTACTTGAGAAAAAGTGATGCTAATGGATGATGTGTTTTTGCATGCATGCCAAGTGGCTATTAGTTTTTTAGGTCCTGTGCAGAGTAGTCTTAAGCAATTCCATCCTAGATCGTGGCTGTTTCTGGTGTGTTGTGAAGGTTTTGCCTTCCTGGGATCACACAGTGAACGTAGCTCCTCCACAAGTGGATTTTACACCGAGGGATGATCTCTGGTGAAAACAGCTAGTGTGTCAAGTTTGTATACTGCCTGTGCAGCTGCAGTTGCTCACTGTGACTGCAATCCTTCATTGTGAAAAGGAAAGAGGCTGTGTGTGTTTTGTCTTTGTGAGAGGATGGGCGGGAATCCTCAACATTTTGCATTAACAAAGCAAATTGTTAGGCTTCCACTGCAGTGTTCTGATGCTTTGTGTGTTTGTGTCTGTTCGCCTGGAAGATGTGACTATTGCTGATGCTGATCAATGTGAGCCAACGCCTTGTAGCCCTCAATGAGCTATTCCAGTGAAGCTGTAACTGTCAGGGAACTTAAAAATGAGAACAGAAGTACAGTGGATAGTAGCTAGAAGACCGTAGAATTGGAGCTGCTGCAGACCATAGCCCTAGTGCTAGGAAGAGGACTGTAAATGTTAGGGAACGGTGCTGATGAAAGATGGAAAAAGCAGATAAAAGGAACCAGGAGGTTAAGTTTCCTCTTGTGTTGCAGTGCTAATTAAAATAGCTGAATTGCTACCTGCTGCTATAGCTCCAGGCTAAAGCTGAGCTTCTCTGGGGTAGTGAGAATGTGGACTTGACAGCAAATTCCGTCAGAGAGAGGCTTGTGAATAGCACAGTGAGCAGAATTAGTGCCTTCGTCTATTTCTGGATATTACCTATATCTGTTTCTGCTTTGGAGCACAAGGCCCGTCTGTTCTGCAGAGAATATCTGTTCCTCTCTGAACGGAGGTGTGGTGAATTGAGCCACTTTGGGATTCTCTCTCAGTGGTTGCAAAGGATGCTCAGATATTGTAGGCAAGGAGGGCTTAACTGTTCAGTGCAGAGGAGTCTGCATAACAAAATCAGGTTGGTGTGTCAGGGTGGTTGGAAAACAGAGGCTGAATTCCTGGTGTTGGACAGGAATGCAGGTGAGGAAGCAGTGACCCCTGGAGCCGCCTAGAAAAAATAGCTGTCTTTCAGAGGCCAGTTACTGGTCTGAACAAGCATCCTGCTCGCTGGAGAAGTGGTTAAAAGACCTTCCTTTTCTGGGACACAGTGAAGACAAGGAGCTTATTTCACTGGAGGGCCCTGGCATTAGATAGCAGCCTGATGGTGCAGCGGTTTGCTGTTGACTCCTGCCCTGGCACCTGGCCGTAGGTTGCTCTGCGCATGCCTGGCTGTTTCTGTGTGTTGTGCTGATAGGCGACTGACGCCAAGTTTCCTTTCTCATGTTTCAGGAGCTGTTGGCCAGATGCTGCTGGATGCTGACAAGGGAAAGCTGATTCAGAGACAAGCGGCCAGAAATGTTTGGACACGTCGTCACTTTGGATCTGTAAGTCCTTGTTTGAGGGGAAAGTTGCCTGGAGGCACTGTGAGTATTTAAGTGTCTCTGGAAATTCTCAGATCATGAGGGTAGGCTTCAAATCCCGGTATCTTTTCCAGGTAGGTGAGGGTGAGATGACAGGTAGCACAGTTGCTGGCTTTGGGTTAGGAAGTAGGACAGTCCTGACTGAGCCTGAGGAACTCTGTGCTGAGAGACAGGGAGGCCTTTGGCCTGTTTGTTCTCAGCACCTCTGCTATGGAAACGTGTTTGGACCCATGGGTGCAGCTGTTCCTGGAAGCCTCTGCTTGTCTGCCAGCCCATGTGGCTGGTGATTCTGCCTTGATACCTCCCAGCTCCTTCTGGGAGTTGATGGAAAGACACATCCAAACTGTACTGGCCTGGTCCTTCCTGGAGGTGCATGTTTTGCCCCTCTCTGTGTTCCCCCCTCCCCATACTTTACAGTTTGCCCTGCAGACCAGTTATGCTGCTGTGAAGCTGTTTTTTCCTGTGCTAGTCAAGACCCGACTAGGGCATTGTAGTAAGGAAAGGGTCCAGACAGCTTGTTGGGGCAGGGCCAGCACTAGGGCACCTCTTCAGTTTGTTTTGGCAAAGCTCGAGTTTGCGTGGTCCTGGTTGCCTGCCTGTTCCATTCATCTTCAATCTGTCCCTCCCTGTGTGCGTACAACTGCTCCACACCCTGCGCTCCTGTCCCGCCTCCCAGGGCTTGGTGCCATTGACAGGACAAAAGCAGCACAGCAGCAGAAGTGCATCAGGGAAGGGAAGGCTCCAGCACAGTTTCTCTCGTACCAGAGCTATGCTCTTACAGCTGTCTCCTAGATCAACCTAGATCTCTTCTTATAATGATGGGTGCCCTGAGCTTTGAACAGAGAGAAAGGTGGTTTCTGAACTTGTGTTGTATCCCTGCTTGGCTGGTGCAAGGTAGAGCATGGCATGCTGCTTGCTGGAAGTCAGAGAGTAGCTTGTCTTTCTCTCTCATGGAGGTGTGGATTATCACAGCTGTAGGCACAAGGATGTAATGTTTTGGCTCAGACAGGAGTCTGATAATTGCCAGCTCATTTTTGGTGAGAAGCACTGACTTAAAAGGACAGGTGAGGTAATTGTTATCATTACCAAGCTTCTGTACCAAAGGCTTCGTGGTAAGCATCCCTCTGCAGTAGCAAGGAAGATAAGCTGGGAGGATTCCATTTCACAGGAGGTTTGTTTAGTCCTTCCTGGAACCAATGTTCCCTTCAGGCTATTGCTACATGAATTTTGAGTTTGTGTGGTCCCAGTTACCTCAGTGTCTCAGGCATGTCCTTGCCAGGTGACTTTCCAGCTCTTGCTGGGCTACGTGGCCCAACTATCCTAATCTTAAATTTTGTTTACTTTCAGAAGACCGGATGTGGGTTGAGATGGGCACATGGAGTGAGGTGACCATCCAGTTGTCCTTGGTTTTAAACATTCCCTATTCCTTACATATTTATGGGATGAGATTTCGAACTGGCTGCTTTGATGGATGCTAAGCTATTTGTTTCTCTTCTTCAGGGCATCTGAGTGAGTGTCCCTCTTTCATGAAGCTTCAAATTTGTCGTTAGGCTGGTAAGTGCTTGGGTCCTTGTGAGCTGGAGACATGACTCTGTTTTAGCTTAGGATATCTCCTAGATCACCTGTTTGATGATGGTGTGTTGACAAACCTGCTTCAGGTCAAGTTTTCAGCATTCCTCTTTGAAGGAGAGAGATGTCTTCCCAGCAAGTCAGACCTATCTGTTTTGCTTGGGGACACAGTGGAATGCAGTATGCTGGATGTGATATTTCTGAAGTATTAGAGATCTCTTCACCTACTTGAGTCTTTTTAGGAGAAGGGAACTTGAGGGAGTGGCTGAAGCAAGGGGGAGTTTCCAGCACTCCGATAGTGGAGATTTAGAGGTTAGTCCTAGGAAGTAGTTCATGTCCATGGAAAGATGTGAAAAACTTTTGTGAGCTTGTGTTCTGCAGGATAGCTTGCAAATGTTCCTGTGAAGTGTAAAGCCTGTTGTGGCTTGGAGCCACTCTGTGCTTGGTGCAGACATCTCACACTTGCCTGTCCTCACAGGGGAGTCAGTCTAAGTGTCAAGAGAACACAGCTAGGCAAGAGCGGATAAGAATTGGACACAATTCCTGGATCTCTGTTTAGACACTTACCATGTAAAACCTCACTAGCCAAAACACAAAGTAAATTAAGTATGTTAGGACACTGGTCCAGTGGTGTCCATTGACTGCCTTGAAGGTATGTGAATGGGAGTGAAGAGGGGAGAGGATGATCCAAGTTGAGGCAGGTCCTGCACTTTGAAGTGCTGCAGGTCAGGTGCTGAGGATTGCAGAGATGCTAGACTTGATCAGTGTTAGGATCCAGCAGGAGAAAGGGGAATGAGAAGTGGGTGCTTACCACAAATATAGGGAGTCTGTGAATTATGCCTGTCTTGTCACTGGGGAAAGTCCTGTATCGGGTTCTGCATGGACTGCTTGGCATCTCCAGAATTTCTTGTCTTGTGTACAGTGGGGTGGTTGAAATCCTGGCTGCTTGGAGGGAGGTATTCCTGCCCTCCACTGCAGTCCCAAAGTGGTGGAAAGAAAGGAGATTCTTCCATGTGTACAAGATAGCTACTTTCCTTCTGCCCCATTTTTTGCTCTTGTACTGCTCCTACAGCAGGAAGGATCCTACCCAGCATAGCTGGGGTAAAGGGAGTAATCTGGTCTTTCCACTAGCGGTACTGCTGCGTGTTGCAAAATCTGGCCTTAGATACCAATGTTAATGGCATTGCTCCCTAATTTGATGCCACCTGAGACTTGGAGGTGGCCTTCATCTTTTCTGACAGACCAAGCAGTTGTAATGGTATGGTCCCTCTTTCTGACAAGCCTCTTGTGGCCTGCTCCGCTGGGGCTCCAGCATGAGCTGAAAACTTTTGAGTTTGGGCTCTTTAATGGCTGGAGTCTCCTCCCACACAGTCCCCGCTGACAGTGACAGCACATGATCAATAACTCCTGCTCCAGCTGCCACTGCTGCCTGTAAGGCCTGCAGTTTACATATTGGAAAAGGCCTTTCCTAAAGAGCCTAATCAATATGCTGCTGTGAGGTCTGTTCTCGTTTGCTATATATAATCCGGACACACACAAACTACGTGAGTGAGCGTGTGTAGAGCGGGGGGAGGATGTGCCAGCCCTCTGCTCTCACAGGCTGGGAGAAGGACACAGCTACCTCTTACTTTGCTCCCTCTCCTGCAGCTGCTGCTCAAGACTTGTGGCTACATCCTTTTTCTGCTCTATTATCACTCTGTATGGGGACCTTCTCTTGGACTCCCCTTTTTCACTTCTAGGGTTCAATGGAGTGCCTGTGACTCACTCTTCTGTGCACTTTCTGCTGTTGGTAGGTAACTCGCTTTTGGAGCCACGCAGGTGGGAGAATGTCAAGCACAGCTCCATCAAAGAAGCCTTACCGGAAGGCACCCCCACAGCATCGTGAGATCCGTCATGAGGTACCCATCATTCGTGACGACCAGGATGGAGTGATCTTGGCTGAGCAGAGTCAGGTAACGACTTGCCGGGTGGCACAGGGCTTAACACCATTGCACCAACAAACAGGGTTTAGTTACACTGAGTCAGGCCAGCTCAAGCAGGCAGAGGGCTTTGAGGTTTGCAACCTGAACTTCTCCTCGTCGTGGTCCTTGGAGTCCAGCAGTGAGAAGGAAGTGACAGGGTGCAGAGCAGAGTTGGACATCAAGAGCCAGACTGTCTTGCCAGTACTTACTCATGGTGGGAAGATGGGGCAGCGAAGTGGGAAGCGGTGCGCAAAACGCAGTCGTGGGCACCTCGGCAAATTTGTGAGCCGTAGCATGGAGACGGTTGTGGTATCTGGAGATGAAAGACACCATCCCGCGCACTCTTTCAAGAGCAGAAGCCTGGAACGCTCTCTTATGTTTAAAGAGCCTCCTGAAGTCCTGACGCCGAGGAAGTTTCGAGTCTCCTCTACACACGTGCCTCTCAAAGGGATCCTGAAGCAGACCAACATGATGGGCCCTGAGAGCTTACGCAAGTCCCGCTCAGTAGAGGCGCTTCCCCGTGGCCGTGGCTCACGCAAATACAGTGATCCTCAGCTCTGCCTCAGCCGCAGGGAGAAGCGCTCGCTGGAGCACAGCAGCAGCAGCGCCGCTGACTCTGTCAAGCGCAGGGAGAAGATCACAGAGGAAAAACTGCAGTTTTCAAAATTCCTCGATGAGATTACCCAGCGGGTGCTGAGTCCCATCCGCTTACGCTCTCTGGGAGAGACCAGGGGAGCAGGACAAGATCAGAACTCTCCCATTTTCCCCAGAAGCTCCATGCCAGAAGGCCAAGGGGAAGGTCACCTACAAGGAGTGAAAACCAAGCCTGCAACGGAGAGATCCCCCCGTCCAAGCAGAAGAAAAGCAGGAAAGAAATGTGAGGGGCTGGGAATGGCTTTGTGCCAGAGAAAGTGTGCTGAGGAGGCTGAGAAAGCTTCCAGACTAAGAAAGAAACCCACCCTTGGGAGGAAGGACAGTAAGGAAAAACTCCTTTCCATGGAGAGAAGGGTAGTAGATATGTGTCGGTATGAGCTGCAGCAGCTGGCAGATCTGGGGCTGGCAGGGACATCCTCTGGGCAGCAGCACTCACTGTCTTTATGGAAAAGCAGTGCAGAGGGCAGAAGGGATGACAGCAGTCCCTGTTCACAGCTATTACAGCCACGCCATCTGTGTGTTAAAGTTGGGCAGAAGCGTGCAGTGGAGCCGAACTACCCAGAGAAAGGATCCTTCTCCACTCCAACACGCTGGAGTCGGGAGGAGGGGCCTACCCCATCTAGATCCTCCCCTTCCTTCAGCGTGGCACTAAACAAGGTAGGTGCCAGGGCCACTGGCTCACAGACAGGGGTCTCAAAGGCCAAAGTGCCCCTCTGGATCTCATGCCACTGGGGAGAGCGAGAGCAGGCCCCTGGACCTTGCGTTGTGGGTGCTTATCACCTGAAGCTGCTCTCTTGTGGGTGCCACTGTTGGCTGTGCTCCAGGTTGGGTATATCTCTTTGGGAGGAACCAGCTTCCCTTTGTCCCCAGGAGTTAGGAAGGCAGGAGCTGGTGCTGTTTGCCCCACTGCAGACTCCCCAAATGTCTGCAGGTTGGAGGCCTTCCAGGCTGGGGGGCAGCAGGCATGTGCAAGAGGCAGGCAGCTCTGTTGTCAGGAGATGTTGGGATGTTCCTGGTGCTTTGTGTGTGCCCTGTGCCTGGCTGTCTTGTGGTGCTGGGTCTTTGTATGATGACTGTTTCAAGTCTTTGTAAGCCTATTCCTCTTTTCTCTTGCCTGCTTTGGGGTCATTGCCTCGTTTTATTAGGAATTGCATTATCCCCTTTGCCTGGTCGCTAGCATCTACTGCATGTGTATTTGTGGGAGTAGGGAAGGCAATTGTTAGATAATTCTGCATGAATTAACTGATTGTCATGTGGGGTCAGGATGGGAGAAAATAATGGATTGATGCTTTGCCTTTAGGGACGGGATGATGCATGCAGGTGGTAAGGACCATTCTTTTAAAGTGTGAATTGATGAAGGAAGCACCTCATGATGTCTTAGGTCCAGAACTGAGGTGGTTTGCTGTCTGTAATATTGCTAGCAGCCCAGCAGTCTCATCCCCAGCTGTCTCTGGCGTGGCCTCTCAGACCAGAGCGGGCTGTGACACTTAGTTGGACGATCTAAAGCATGGCAGCACTTCGGGTTTGTGCAGTGCTGTTGGTACCAAGCGCCAAAAATAATCCACAGGCAGCTTGGACTTTATGAGAATGGTCAGTCCTGGGCTTTCCCAGAAAACGCGGTTGCTTCTATTGCTAATTAAATCTCTCCCAGCTGTGCTGGCAGGCAGCAGCCATCTCACAGATTAACACAGAGTGCACAGGAACTGAGAATAGCTGAGCCGTGTGCTCTTGTCACTGCACTGTGTCTCCTTGTTCTGCAGGTCCCTGCTCCAGCCATCTCTGGGGATCTTGCCCAGAACATTAATTTCTTTCACAGACTTTTCTGACCTCTTCTATTTCTTCTGCTCTCCTAGAATAGTTATACTAGTTGGTTTCAGGTTTGCAGAAAGAAACCCTTTTCACAGCACAGTCTGAGCAATGTAGGTGGTAGACAAATTTTTAAGCTCCTAAATGATTCTCTCATTCTTGTTGTGGGGCTTCAAGGGTGTTGTGATTGCTGTAGTGACAATTTAAACCTCTGTGTATGCGGCTCTGTGAGATTCCTGCCACCCACTAACTGTGGAAGTGTCTTGGTTTGAGCTAAACAGAAGCAATTCTCTTCAGTGATTTTTACTTCTGTTTAGCTCAGACTAGGACAGGAGGGAGCTGAAACACTAGCTAAGGTGCTGATGTTAGATGCTGAGATTGCACTGTAGGAGAGTGAAGTTACCTAACTTGTGTGGCAGTTTCTAGTCTAGCTCTTCTACCCTGAACCAGAACACACAGTCTGTCTCGGTATCAGGCAGCTGAGTGATGTGTACAGATCTGAGCTGCGATAAGCTTGCCTAGTGTGACCTGTTGGAACAGATGAGGAATAGTCACAGGTAGGGTCTAGCGACCAAGACTCTATAGGACAGCGTTAGAAGACCTCCTCTGAAAGAATCTCACATCTGTTTTCTTCCCTGTGTAGGAACCCTTGACGGATGCAGAAAGGATGAAGTAAGTGTCCTGCTCCCCTTTTATGCCTGTTTTACTGCAACTGTGTGGATGCTGATTCCTGCTTGTGCCACCTGCACAGTGAAGCTGACTGGCCCTGTGGGCTCCTCTCAGATCTTCAGTCATCTTGGGGCCATGTGGGCAGAGCTTTTAGTCTATGCCTAGCTCTCTTCCTGGAGGGGAAGGGGACATAGACCCTGAGTGCAGGTGCAGGCAGAGGAGTTAGTGGGTGTGAAAGATAGTAGGAGATGAAGTCTTTAATACAGGTGGAGAGAGGAGAGCCTTTTTTAACCCGTCTTGTTGTTGCCACCATTTTGGTGTAAGACACCAGAAACAGTATGCAGAGGCCTGCTGCTGACTGAGAGTGAGAGCTGAGCCCTTTGGCTGTGGGGGACACAGAGAGCTCCAAACCATAGTGAGGAGAAAGCTTGCCCTGCCAGAGAGAAGCCATGCCTCTGGGTTTTTCTGAGCAACTGAGCACAAAGGAATGAAAAACAACAGGAAATCCTTTTGACCACCAGGCATGTCCTGGCTGGGGAGGAATGGAGCAGTTTATGTTGGAATGGGATTGACTGGCAGCTGTGATCACATCTGTAAGTGCACCCCATCACCCTCTGCTTCTGGGCTTAAGGCTGTATGAAGTCCTGTTTCCACCAAGTATTAAAGGTGTGAAGATGATTTTACTTGTTTTGCCTTCAGGTCTTCTAGCCTGAACTGGGATAAATTATTGAGTGGATTTCATTCACCACTGAGCGACACTGGAGCTGCACAGCTCAGATGGCAAGTGGGCTTCATCCAGGCGCTGTAACCTGAGAGGGAACTGGGAGCCGTGGCTGACCAGCTGGCACGTGCTGCTTTGCCCCTACTCCAAGAGAGTTTGAGTCTCCCTCTCCTGACAGAGATTTGCTTCTTACTGCATGTGCTGGAGTCTCCGACTAGTTTAGTTCCTGACTCCCTGGGGGCCCTCTCTGGGGTCTTAGGCCCCAGAGCAGGGCAGCAGGATGTGGGTGCTGATGTGGAGTACCCCTTGTGCACTCAGTGCTGCCTTGTTTCTGTGTTCGCCAGGCTCCTGCAGCATGAGAACGAGGAGCTGCGCCGACGGCTGACATATGTGACTAACAAAATGGAGGCGATGGAGAGGGAGCTGGAGTCAGGGCAGGACTACCTGGAGATGGAGCTGGGCCAGAACCGTGAGGAGCTGGAGAAGTTTAAGGACAAATTCCGTAGGTATGAAAAAAAACCCAAGAAGGGCAGAGTTAGAGAGATCCCTCCCACTAAGGACTCCTTCATCTGGTGTGAGCAGGCTGTGCCCTGTTGTGTAGACCAAAGACAGCCTCAGAAAGGTGCACCCCCAAACTGTAGGAGTGTTAAAGGCTCTGAAGCCATTACTTTCTCCAGGGGGCAATGTAGGAATGCTGCCAGTGTGAGGGGCTGACAGCAATAGGGAATTCTTCATCTGTTGGATGTAAGGCAGGATCCAGCTTGGATGGTTACCCACCATGTACAAAAGGAGCCACTGAGGGCAGCAAGAAGATACATCACCACTTTATCTGAAAAGTACCTCAGTTAAAAGTCACTTGCTGGTGTATGACGTAGCTCAGAGGAGTCCTCCAAAGTCGTTCACGCCTGCCCCTGCAAAATCCTTTCAGCCGGTGTCGTGGATTAGGGCTGGGCCAGCCAATGAACCCTGACAGATGCTCCCTAACCTCCCCTCCCTCCCTAAACAGGAAGGAAAAGGGAATGAGGCAAAGAGACTTATGGATTGGAAAAAGAAAATTAGAACAGCTTTAATGAATAAGGAAATAATAAAAATAATGAACTATATATATGTGTATATATATATAAATCTGATAACAAACCTGACTTCCCCCCCTCACTAGCTGTCCCCACTGATGCTGCAGAGCAGGAAGTCCCAGGCTCAGCGGCAGAGGGGAGCTGGGTACAGGGACTCGGGATCAGGATCAAAGGCAGAGTCCTCCCCGGACACTGGCCATTGCAAAAGAGAAAAAATGGGACCTCCACCCTCGTGCTCCCTCAGTTCTATACTGAGTACAATGTATATGGAATGGAATACTCTTGTTGGTCTCATGCCCTGTCTGTAACTCGCTGGGGGTGCAACCTTTTACTTTTTTGTGACCCCTTTTACTTCCCAGCACCTCCAGTGTGGCACACGAGCCAGCAGTGGCCTTGGTCGCTATAGGAGTAAGTATCAGCAAGAGCCTTTCTGCATCCTGATCCCAAGCAGTAACTGTAACGATCAGGTGTTATCACTGCGAGTAACAGACACTGTCTGCAAAGACATGCTGTAAACTTCAGAAAGTGCAGCCTCTAAGAAGAGACTGAGCTGAGAAGAAGGAACAAATTGGTTCTGTTTAGCTCAAACCAGGACACCCAACCAACCTCATCTTGCATCCAGTAACTGGGGTCTGAAGGCCATTATGTGGCAGAAGTGAAATATATTTAATATGCCAGGTTGTCTGAGTGTCAGTTTTTCTGGAGTTGTTGGTTTGCTTGGCAGCAATGAAGGGAACTTGAGGAGGTGCCTGAGATCCGTTCCCATGTATACTACCTTGTTTCTGTAGGTTGCAGAACAGCTACACTGCTTCCCAGAGAACCAACCAAGACCTGGAGGAGAAGCTGCATGCCCTGGTAAGTGCCCTGTTAGGTCACTACGGAGAGAAAGTGGAAGAGACTTGTGCGTTAAGAGCAGATGGGGAAGGGGACCTGGCTTTACCCAACAGATTTGGCAGTGGGTGAGGAGTGAGATTCTGGCCATGGCCATTTACTCCCCATTCTGGCTGGTGTCATGAACTGTTTTCTTGATTTACTGAGCCCCTACTTAGTCATGCACATGAGCTTTGGTTTCCCACGACATAACTGCATGGTATTCCGTCATGTTGCTTCAGTCCCTCTCAAAATGCCAGGGATGTGTCAGCCAGTCTTGGGGTGGTCATCCTGGGAGGACGGGGGCAGTCAAAGCAGAGCCAACGTGCGTGTATGTCTGTTGTGTGCATTCATAACTCTAATGGCTGTTTCTTTTCTCTCCCTCTCTCTCTCTCTCTCTCTCTCTCTCCCTTTCTCCTCCCCACGCTGCCGCTGGCACACGCTGGGCGCACTCACCTCTCAGGCCTCTCTCAGCCAAAGCTGGATTTTTGCAGTTGCGTCTTTCGTTTGTGTGTTTTTTCTTTTTCCTCTTTGACGTGTCTCAGCCTGTTGGTTTCATTGTCAGTCCCACATACACCATCCCGGATGGAGGGGCCCCAACCCTCGTCCAGCCAAGGGCTCACCTGGTATCCAGCAGCTGCCCGCAGATGCAGCAGGTCCCAGCTTGCAGTGCTCCATCTTAAAGAGCATTTGACTCTGAGCCAGCTGGAGCATGGCGTGTTGGGAAGTGGTGCCCATAAGCTATGGCACTGCACAAGATGTGGATGGCCGTGAGCCTCGTTTGCTCTCTTTCCTTCCCCTTCTGAGCTGTGAGCAGGCAAGTTGAACAGCTGAGATGCTGATTGCCTCCGTGTAGCCCAGGATGAGAGTTCTTTGGTTCTAGCACTTGAATTTCTTGGGTTAATGTTCATTGTGCTGGTGCCTGAAGAGACTGCATATGTGAGAAGCATTGTCCTCCCCTACCCCCTTGTGTGTCACTGTGCTGCACCCGACACACAGCTGGGTCCTGGTGGCCACAGCCTCAGATCACGCTTGGGCCGTGTTGTAAGAACTTCTTGAGAAGGGAAAGGCTTGGTTGTTCTGAGCTGTTGCCCTTCTCTGCTGTTACATGTGGGTCTCTATTGGCCCTGTATCTGAACTGATAGGAAGTCTAAAGAGGCAAGATTGCTTGCTTTAGGGAGAGCATTAACTGAGCTCCAAATAAAGCTACACAGGTCCTTTTTCTTACTAGAGCAAGGCTTAAACGCTATCAAGGTGGTGCCCTCTCCCTGCCTGTAAAACCATGAAGTGGATCTTTTTAGGTAGTATTCTCATTCCGTTGCCCCAGAGAAGAGAGCTCATTATTGTGAGCTTAGGAGGTTTTTGCTGCCAGTGGCAGGATGGAATTGATTGCTCAAACCCACTAGCTTTGCACCAGACACCGTGTGAACCGGGGTAGAGAGGAAACATGGTTATGCTGCAAGAAGAGATACTTCATTAAGGTGGTTGGTTGAAACTCAACCTGATGTCTCTGTAGGTAGCAGAGCGGAGTGGCTGGCTCCATTTGTCCTTTGGAGTCACTCCCTTGGTGAAGAGCCAGGCTGTCCCTCCTGTCTGTCTGGAAGTTTTTGTAACCCAGCTGAACATGTCATTGTGCTATACTTGGGCTGAGGTGGGTGGTGAAGCCAGGTTCTTCTGTGACGGGGAAATTTTCACCTGGTGTTCTTGCATCCCAGATTAAAAAGGCGGAGGTGGAGCGCAAGACGCTGGACTGGGAGATTGTAGAGCTCACTAATAAATTGCTTGATGCCAAAACCACCATCAATAAGCTGGAGGAACTCAACGTAAGTGTCAATCTGCAAACGGCTGTGGAAGTGTGTGAGATGTGGGCTTTTCCTCTTGTTTAAAGTCATTAGTGTAAAGAAGCGTGTGAATGACTTCAGTGTGTATGAGAGTGTGGGAGCAGTACACAACAGTAGGGACAGAGAAACAGAAGAAGGTCTGAGGGATTGAGCAGGGAAGAACTGATCTTCAAATTTTATGTGTTTGCTCTTTTGAGCTTAGGATTTGACCTGAGTCCAGGCTGTGCCATTGAAGAGGTCCTTTACTCTACACCTGAGAGGCAGCTGATGCCTTTTGTAAACCATTAATACAGAAGTTCCTGGATCTGGTGCTTGTTTCAGTTATTTGTGCGCAACTTCCTCCAGACTGTCTGTCACAAGATGCCTGACATCAGGCGGTGTCTTCAGGCATGGCTGAGAGCTCTGGGAGGGGATAGCCCTGCTGGGATATTTGGAGATTATTAAAATCTCCAGAGGGAGAGGGTAGTGATACACTGACAGAGCGTATGCCTGGAGTTGAAAGGGACACCTTGGCTGGGTTGTAAGAAAATACACAGGGGTGTGGAGAAGAAGGAGTGGCAGGTGCCCTCATGAGAAATTCATCAGATGCCTCCTCCTGCTTCTGTTCAGGCAGCATCTGATCAGATACCTTTTCGGGTAAGAGATCAGGCAAGTCTGACGCTGTTGCACACCTGTGCCCTTTCTTGCAGGAACGCTATCGACAGGACTGTAACCTCGCAGTACAGCTGCTGAAGTGTAACAAGTCCCACTTCAGGAACCACAAGTTTGCTGACGTGAGTAGCAGTTCTGCTGAGGTGGGGAAGAAGGGCTCGTGGTCTCTGCCTGCATCTCACTTTCTCCAGCTTTCTCTGCAGGGCTGTTAGCCTCTCATCCTTCAGCCTCAGATAGAGGTGGAGGGGGAGCTCCTCTTCTCACTCCCACTGAGAAGGCAGCACTGAGCCTCTGCCAGCTCCTCTTTCACGCCAGCTCCATTTCACAGGCTCAGCCAGGAGCTGTTATAAAAAGCACAATAACCTTGAATTTGATAGCATGCTGGATGCCTGATGGGAGCTGGCAGGAGGACAGACCTCTCTCTTACCCTTTTGGGTCCTCTTCGCTTCCTCACCTGGCCACATAGAAGGGTCACGTTGCCTGATAAGGAGTCAAGCAGCAGTAGCCTGGCCCTGCTTCACTTCCTACTCTGAGGAGAAATGGGGGAGGCAGCATTCAGGGTGTCTTAATTTAGGCCTCCTGAAGTTGGTACCAACTCATACTCCCCCTTGTGGGGTCTTTTCAGCTCCTCCTGCCCTCAGGATGAGCAAAGATGGAGTTTAGGCCTTTCATGTTAGTAGCAGCACTTCTTTGGTTGGAAGTATCATTCAGACCTTTACCCCAGCTCTCTTTTCAATACCCCTAGTCTCCATCCCTCCTTATGCTCCTCTCAGCAAAACCATATGCTTGTCTTTTTTAACTTAGCAGGTGACCAATATGTCACCCTCCCGCATTGTGTCTCAAATTAGCACTCTTGAGGTCAGTGTATCAGTTACTGCTGCTGTAACCTTGACCTCTCTCCCAGCTGTCTCCCCTCCCTGGGGCTTAGAATTCTGTCCTCCAGAGTGCTGTGTCCCACGTGGCTGCCACTGGAGGGGGGCTGGTGCTGAGCAGCTGTGCAAATAGTCTGCCTCAAAGCCAGCTGTTGTCATGCAGTGTGCTCTGCATCCTCAGCTTTGGACACAGTTTCCTTCTGCCTGTGATGGGACAGACCTTGCTGTGCCACTGAGTGACTTGTGGAGCTCTGCTCTCCGCTTCATGCTGTGCGTGGCTTTGGTGACCAAGGTGAGGGCAGCTTGGCAGGGTGATGGGGAGAGCAGCAATGACCATTTGCAGGACAAGGAGCAGTGCTTACCCACTGTTGAAAAAACTCTCATCTTGCAGCTTTGGTAATAAATCTTTCTGAAATGGAGAGTCAGGAAGTGAGATGAGGTGCTGGAGTCAGTAGGAACAAGGGAAGGCATCGATTCTGGTCTGCAGGCAGGCTGCCAAGGCAGCACGGCTGCAATTACTGCATTCGGGGAGCACCGCGGATCCCGGCACTGGGGGTTGTTCAGTCACTTCAACGCAACCACCGGCTGATTTTCCACAGATCAATAGGCCCCTTCCTAGCATGCACTGGCTGGGCCTTGTCTCTGTCCTCATCCTCAGAGGTGTGGGGCACTGAGTCTGCGTGCCGTCTTTTCTTGTTCTCCTCACAAAATGAGGCCTGTGAACCGTGACCTACAAACATGACTGTTTTGAGCTAGAGATGTTTGTTAGTCCCTCACGGGGCAGGTTTGCTTTGGAAAGAGATACCTTTCTCAAGGCAAGGTAGGTGACTTTCTCAAGGCAAGGTAGCGTCAAGATAAGGAGTGTGAAGTATACGTGAAGGTTGGTTGGAAACAGCAGATTATTTGAAACTAAAGAGCTCCCTTTTAATGTTCTTCTCCTTCTCCCTAGCTTCCCTATGAGCTGCAGGACATGGTCAACAAGCATCTGCACAGCGCTCAGGAGTCTGCAGGCCCTAGTCAAGAGGCAACCCACACCTTGGCTCCATCTGATGTGGTGCCCACCTCAGTCATTGCCAGAGTCCTGGAGAAACCAGAATCTCTGGTTCTGAATTCAGCCAAGTCTAGCAGTGGCAGTTGTCCCATGGCTGAGGATGTCTTTGTGCATGTAGACATGAGTGGAGCCCCTCCTGATGCCTGCAACAGCATGGGGCAGATGGGGAAGGAGGGAGGAGATGCTGGGAAACAGCAGAATGGTGGCTGCAAGCCACAGAGCAGCGTGGAAAGCATGCTAGAGGAGGTGCCTGCCTTTGAGAAGCTAAGTCCGTACCCTACACCCTCGCCTCCCCACCCTATGTACCCTGGGCGCAAAGTGATTGAGTTCTCTGAGGACAAGGTAAGGATCCCAAAGAACAGTCCCTTGCCCAACTGTACATATGCTACTCGCCAGGCCATCTCCCTCAGCCTGGTACAAAGTGAAGATGAGAGCAGCGACAGGCACCAGACGCTCCCCAACAGCCCTGCTTCAGAAGGGCGTCATTCGGCATCCAGCTGTTCTTGTCAGCAGTCCCCCAAAGCAGCCCTGGCTCATGGCTCTTCCCAGAGTAGCCCATTCAGCAGCCCTCCCCAAATCCCGAGCGCCTTCGCCAGCTCTGCCAGCTCCGAAGAGGATCTCCTGGCTAACTGGCAGCGTATGTTTGTGGACAAGGCACCCCCTACCTCAGAGCGGGTGCTGATGAACCGCACGGCTTTCAGCCGTGACACTGCCCCCGAGCTCCAGAAGAGGTTCAGCCGCTCCATGCAGGAGCTAGGTAGGGCAGGCTCAGCTTACTCAGATGGTGAAGAGTCTGCACAGAGCTGCAGCTGGACTGTGAGCCGGGACTCGAGTGTGGACACAGACAGCACGCCCGCAGGAGCCATTTCTCCTCAGACTATGGTACAGATTTCTCCCAGGATGAAGCTCAGAAGCTGTTGCAGGAAGGCGGTGGAGGCCCTGCCGAGCCTGGAAGCCCCTCACCAGAGAAGCACAAGGACTATGTGGACCTTGGCTTGCCCGAGAGCCCAGCTGAGGAGAGAGAAATGTTGCTCCAGGGAAGCAAAGAGAGCAACCAAGGAGGTGCCCAAGAAGAAAGTGGAGAAGGCAGGGTCAAGCCTCCCTTCAGTCGGCCACATCGCAGCCCCAAGAGGATGGGGGTCCACCACCTACATCGCAAGGACAGCCTGACTCAAGCCCAGGAGCAAGGCAATCTTAGCTGAGGCACGGCAAGAAGCAGCCATATGCTGCAGAGCTGTGGGTTGCCTCCATCTGTCCACCTTCTGAGGGAGAAACCTCCCTTAGTACCCTCCACCCAGGGGGAGCTCTGCTCTGAAGTTTTATATTTATTGTTTTCTTTTGCTACCTGGAAGAGCTGGGGTCCTCCTTCCCCAGCACCTCAGACCCACAGTACTAGTACACTCAGTGTGCAGAAGCACACCCACTGCCCTGGCGCACTCAAAGCTCTCTGTTCACAGCCTCACACTGGTGCCTGTACCAGAGCTCGTTCTTGGTACTTCTTGTCCTGGTGCCTGTGCCTCTTTATGCTCACATCTTCCTTCCCCCTTCCCACTCGGGTACCTGAGGCCCTGGATGCTCTCATGCTGGTTGCCCGCAGCCGCTCCGCTCTCTTTTTAACTTGTGCCAACAGGGCTGAGTGCCTGCGTGGTGGTGTCTGATTCCCTGGGAGCTGCCAGGGGCCATGAGTGGGGCACGAGGACTCTCCCAGTGGATGGCTCTGTGCCCCTGGGGATGTGCTCGGATTGCTGGTGTCTCATTTTCCTGCTGGGTTTTGTTTTCCCTGGCTGCCCTCTGGGTGGTTCTCCAGAGTCTGCCTCTGCAGGTCCCTGTTGTCACTTGGCTCCTGCACCTGGCCCCCATGGAGGCAACGCATGGGTGCTGCCCGCGGAGTTGGTTTGGGGAGGTGCTGGGTGCTGGGGTTTGTGTTTTTGTGTCCTCCCTCACACCTCTTCCCCCACTCTCTGTGCTGTTGTTTTCGTCTGAACGGTGCTGATGCTTTGCTCTTGGGTGGGCTTCTTTCTTCTTTCCAAGCCTTTGGTTTTGGGGTGTATTGTTTTTTCTTTCTCCCCACCCTGCATAAACAGACGCAGCCGTTGGCAGCCGGTCCAATGCCGGCGTTGAGGGTGTGATGCGGACGCTCAGCTCTAAGAGCGGTGCTTCCCTCTGATCCTGGCCTCCAGCCCGCAGAAGCCCCTCCAAACTCAAGAACAAGGTCTCGCCCCAGGTGACCAAGGTGTGAAGGATGCTACTGGGCTTTTTGGATAGGACTCGGTGCAGGGCTGGCCAGGAGGGGAGGGCAGTGTGCTGAGGAGCTGCTCCCTGCAGACACACTACCTCACGGCTCAGCAGCAGCCCCTTGCCAGGGTCTCCTTGTGCACCTCCTTCTCTGGGGTGCTCCAGGCTGGCTCTGGCACCTTTCCAGGGCCTCCCTCCTCTTCTGGGTAGGGCGTCTCTGTGTGTTTTTTCCTAGTGTAGCATGGTATTGTGTGACTTTTCTTCTGAGTCTTGTGTGCTTGGTGTCTTGGGGG